GGCTGCTTCAGTCTACGTGCTAAAGTATCCTTGGGGAAGGTACTGAACCCCAGGTTGCTCTCTGATGCAGTCACTGGATCAAAAGCGAGAAAGGTGAATATGAAATTGAAGCATGTTGTATAAAGCAGTGTAAAGCTCATGTAGGTTAGACGAGCACTATGTCAGAACGAGTCTACTTTAAACAGCTGATTCTGTTCAGGTTTTACAAATGTTACATGTGATGAGTCAGCTTTTATGAAACTGAGACTTTAAATGTTTGGTTTCAACCATCAGCATGACCCTAGTTTAATATAGGAAGAAAATGTCTTTACTTTTAATGATAGTTACAGTTCAGTTCGATGTGTGGTGAGCTTCCTTTAGGTGAGATTTTCAGGTCTTCTCTGGCCGATTGTGTGCAGGTGCTGTCCCAGTTGTCAGATGTGAGCAGCAGCCAAGCTGAGGTTGTGTTGAGTGTGCTCAGAGCAAGAGAAGAGGAGATCCGCGGCGCCCTGCTGGACAGAACCAACGCCATCTCCTCTGCTACTCTGCAGGACTTTGATTGGCAACTTAAGGTGACTCCTTATTTTTCAGTATGAAGTGGAGATGTCATCTGAATTTCAGGAGCGGGCCCACTCCTCCTTCACGCCCCCTCAGGCCTCAGGCTATAAAAGCCCCCCTTCTCCAATACCTGCTGTTCTCATTTTCATGCCGCACCCTGCCCCCCCATTTTTCCCTGTCTTCCCTGTACATTGGGATCTGCCCGGCCCGAGAGCCGTCGTCAGTCCCCTTCGAGGCCTTCCCCAAACCACAGCACCATCACACTTCCTCATCGCCCATCGTTAGCCAGGATGTGGTGCCATCTAGTGAAACGGACTTCCTGTTTACTGCAGATATCGTTCTAATTTAAATATCACTTCGTAGCTTAACATTCAAAACTGAATGAAAAGAAGCAAAAGCATCTGAATATTTACAGTTGTGGATCTCGACCCGGCACTCCCAGCACAGGAATCAGCTCTCTGTTTAGAAAGTCTGATTCCTGTGAGTACCACGCAGTAGAGGAGACTCGCTCAGCTTTAACTGCTTCTCAGTCTAAAATATAAAACATGTTTTTAGTTATTTCACACTTTTTTGATCACTACATATTTCCATATGTGTTCATTCATAGTTTTGATGCCTTCAGTGAGAATCTACAATATAAATAGTCATGAAAATAAAGGCAAACCATTAAATGAGAAGGTGTCCAAGCATGTTACTGGTAGTGTAGTCATGGGTTTCTGTGTGTACCAACACGACCTCTACAAAACCCAAGTGATGGCCTTCACCACACTGAGAATGGCAGAGGCTCTAAAACTTAACAACTGAACAAACCCAGCCTCGTGAAGCGGGTCAGCTAG